AAAAAAAAGACCTATTTAAAAGCAAGCATGAAAGAAAGAACAAGTTGACGATGAATTTATACACAACTCAAGTCAAGAAGCTGCGATACCGCAGGTTCTTTGCCGGGATGCGGACAGCAAATGCCGGACCCGAAAGTAATGCAAAACAATAGATAAAGCCAGAAAGGCATCAGACCGAATGACTATTAAACAATGCCGCAGCAATTGCAAATCAGCGTGTCGATGAACCTAGCGTTCGCTTCTTTATTTCTTCCTAGCAGAAATGTCAGCAAATGTAATCCACCAATCCAACCATTAAAGCCCCCACCATTCAAAAGCGGCCAGGTGAGTTGGCAAAGGGCCAAGCGTGTCATGGACACTGATTTAACCGTAACCATTATCAGTACTATATCACAGAGACTTGCCTTGTCCTCGGCATTTCGTTTCTGCTTCCGACTGCTCAGCCATCCAATATGCGCTACAGCATCACCGTGTGCATCCTGTAGCCAGCACGAGTGTCCGTCCAGACAAACTACTTGATAAGCGTTTAATGTAGAGTTCGGAAAATTTTCAAGACACCGAGGAGTACTGTTGCAACACTGCTCCCTGCACATCAGCATAGTTGAACCCTTAAAAAAATTGCAGAAAACTGCAGAAATAATCATAAAAATTTTCACACTCCTCTTTGAAGCCCACCAGTTTCAAAAATTCCCGAAATTTTTTTTAATTCTGGGATTTTTTTGAAATCTTTCCGACACCTTTTCTAAACTTATTCCTCATAGCAAATGTGAATCAGTGTGAGTTCATCCCTGCAAAATATGGAGCAAAATTACTAGATGGTGGCATAAGAGGGCGTGGAAATGAGAGGGGTGGAGAAGTGAGCGCGAAGAAGGCAGGGAACTGCCGAAACCACAACAGGAGATAAACTGATCAGTAAGCGCGCAGCTAAGAAAAAATTCCCTCTGCCTCCAGAAAATTACTTATAGATCTTTTAGAGCGAAAAACTGAAAGCCTTCCCGTTCTTGTTCAATACATTTTAAACTATTACACTACAGCTGTTGCCATGAAGCTGCTGACCAGGAGGAATTTCCAAGCAAAAAGCAGAATGAAAGAGGACTGGAAGCCAATGGTATACAACAAGCGAGCTCCGAAAGGTGAGCTGGCTGAGAAGCGCCGCGCCAACTAAAACTTCTTTGGCATTCACGGAGCTCATGAAAGACAAACCTTCCGTAACAACAGAAGCGCAAAATCCTCATCAAAATGCTCGGCCCGTGCTGCGCCAACGTTGAAAACAGCGAGAAGCGCCAGCAGCGACGATTTGGCGGAGGGCCGATGCGAGAAGTGCACGATGGCAGCAGACGAGCGGGCCAACCCCGGGCCGCTCATCGAGCTACTCACTGAGTGCATCCCAGCCGAAGCCGATCACTCCGTCGCAGCATCACCGCAT